TTCCATAGGCTGTCAAAAGCTCTTCTGATGTTGGAGTTCGATGAGGATCTTCATCCTCTCTGGGCTTTATGATTGCAATCCCGTATGTCGCTTCTAAAACGCGTCTTGGAATATTCTGGCACACGTAAGCTTGTCAAGAAATCCAATTCCAAGAATAATGGCCTCCTCCTCCTCCTGGTATCTGAGATATACTGTCTATGGCACACACCCTTTCCTCCCTTTACCTTAATAAGGCTAGTGTCTTCTTTTAAACAATGCCTTATCACCACTGACAAATTCCAAATGAATCTTTAAAAACAATCACTAAGCTCTCATATGTTAAATAGACAAGTTAATGTGATGGTATTTCAAAAAATGGCTAAAATATTAAAAACCATGTTGCCTTAATAATTTTTTAAGTCATAACATGTTCTAAGTTCTGAGTAAAGCGGGGGGTGAGATTTTGTTTTCTTTTTGGGATGATCTGTAATAGTAATAACTGTCATTTATGTTAGTGGATGGCATTTGTACTGTAGATTGTGAACACTGAAAAGCACCACTGTGACCTAAAATAAACACCTTAGTAATACATTAATGCGTGTAAATAAGGTTTAGAATTACATTACTGTGAAACTCATCTTCCAACTCTTAAGCTTTGGAGATTTTTGTTAGTAGGTAATTAAAGGCTATAAAAACACTGGACATTTCTTTTCTGTAATAGCAGAAGTACTCTTCCTCTATAACTTATTGGTCAAGCTTAGCAAATAATTTTAACAGACTGATAATACAACATAAAATACTAAAGCAGTTTGAAACTATTTGTTTCCACATGCTATTTTTAAAATTCACCTACTAGATGAAAGCTAAAAAACTACCTGTGCTGAAATTTGGAGTTTAGGTCTTACAGTATTAATAGTCACTGATTACATCAGTGCTTATTTTTTTGTTTACTTAGATAATACTGCAGTTGGTGGAACTGGTAAACATTTAAAGTATTAACACTATGTGACTGCATTGGTTTAAGACAAACGATTTCTAAAAAGAAAATAAATCACTGAGATACTCTCTGAAATAGATCAGATGAATTTTTTTACCTTGTGAGACTCTAAGCAAAGTTGATAAAGAGATGGCATCAACTTGACTATGACTCAGAGACCCTATGAACCCTGCCCTATTCTGTGCCATCCTCAACATCTCTGACAGACTTGAGCCCACCTCACTGAGGGCCTTCCCCTTTTTTACTGAACCTTCCATGACGTCCTTTTCCAATGAATGGCCCTTCCTAACAACATGCCCATTCAGTCTTCACTTCTAATCCCTAAAACTATTGAAGGAAAACCTTTTCCTTCGTCTCATCAGCATGTATCTGTGTGTCTGGGTTATGCCTGTATGCCCCCAGTACGTCACCCGGTCTTATCTTGCGCTGCTAACCCAAAGGGGGCACCTCTCTGGCTCCATGGCAGAAAGATGGGTAATTGCCTCCTGTGTGATTTACAGTCTCCAAAAATCTGCTGGGGAGTCAGCTATGAATTTGCTGAGTTGACAGCAATGAGTCTGAGTTCTTTCTTTATATGGCTATATAAGTGCTCAACACATATTTGCATATTTGTTTATAAAGAAAACAGTATGTATATTTTTACTACCCAAATAATTGTTTAAATTGTTTTCCTGTTGAACATTCTTCTAGGTGGTATAGCACTGGTCTGTGCATTGCTGTACAGAGGTAACTTGTGGCTGCTGTAATGCTAGACACTGATGTGTCAAATGTGATAATGGTTTCACATGGTGGACAGTGTTTGGTGGAGCTTCCGACTAAAACAAGCCTGGAAGCAGGAGTGGTATCCACTTCCGAAACAGCTTGCCTCTGGAAACTCTATGACAATGGAGAAATTAACAAAGTGATACAAGTGATCAGGTCTTCCGTTCATAGGGTTGCTATGAGTGGTCTACAACTTGACGGCACTTAACAACAACAACAACAATTTTTTTTAAAAATAGAAAGAAAAAAAGTAATTGGAAAAAAGGTTGTAGCCTCATGAGCTATCATTAAAGACCTTGTCCAGAACCGTGAAGGATCTGGAACCTGATCTTCCTTACAAGCGTCACGTTAGCCAGTCAGTTTCAGGTAGCCTCCCACCTTCTGCCAGTATCTGTGAAATAAACAGTAATGAGGTAACCTGTAAAGCCCACTGTCTTTGCTCTCTGGGACAGGGTAGAACTGCCCGAAAGGGTTTCCAAGGCTGTAACCTTCGTGGAAACACAATGCCTCATCTTCCTTCTGAAGAACGGCTGGTGGGTTTGAAACATCTACTTTTCAGTTAGCAGTTTAGTGTTTTGACCAGTGCACTACACCAAGGTTCCTTGTTAGTGTAAGTGAGGCGCTGCAGTTTTTGTCTACTTCTGAGTATTACTGCACACAAGGAATCATCCTAGACACTTGCTTCCCTTAAGTAAACACATTCTGCACCCGAGAGACAGTGGAGCTCCCTCTCTATCGCTTCTAGAAATTACATCTTGGGCAAATCACTTAATTTCTCTGGGTCTCCAATTTCTTCAAGTATACGGATACTTACACGGATAGTATACGGATGGGAATAACCACGGCATCTGCCTCAAGGACTGTTTTGAGGGTTAATCATCTCTCATTATCTGTGAAGGATTAGGTCCAGGAATCCCTTCAGATACAAATTGGAGGATGCACAAGCTCTTTATGTAAAATAGTGCAGTCTTTGCATATATCATCCTACCATATACTTGAGGTACTTGCTAAGAAGATGAAAATGCAATGGAAAGAGCATTTTCTGCATCTTCTTAGCCCTTTATATGAATTCAGCGTTGTGCACAGCATGTGGTAAATTTAAGTTTTGCTTTCTAGAGTTTTTGTCCTGCCTCTTAGTATTTCTGATCCCCTGTTGTATGAAACACAGATACAAAATCAGGTGAGATAGCTGAATGTATTCATTAAAAGTGCTTGGCATACAGCTGTAACATTTCCTCATGGAAATCAGCTATTACTAAGAACTTCTCACAAAGAACTATGATGAAGCAGCTATTCTCATCTCCATTTTATTATAGACCCAAAGCCTGAACTCCAATTACTGCATGATGAAATCAGGAGCTGAGGTTCTGATTCTCAAGCCCTGATGGCATCTCATCATGAAAATGTGGATCACTAATATTTTAACCTCTCCATTCTTAACAGACCCTGAACCTACCAAATGCTGTCAAATCCCAATCATTCCTGAAGCCTTAACACACCCCCAACAGCCAGGTTCCTTCTAAAGGCGAAAGGATATCAGTGATACAGGTGGGAGGTGATCTCTCATCTGGTCTATTGGAAGGATCCCACTGCAAATCATCTCTGCCTTGGTAGAGACGAAGGATGGCATCACCAGGCCGGGGCAGTCACACAGGCAGAGGCCAGGTTCCACATAGAGAGTCTGAAAGACAAGGAGGAGGTGAGCGTGCGCAGGCAGCATGTGACAGGAAAGAAGAGCAGCAGAGGCAAGACAGAACCACAGACAATACCAGGGGGTGACATGACACCAGAGGCTAAAGACGCAAACGTACCTGGAAATGCTTGGTGTGACCAGGTGTGGCAGATACAGACACCTTCTTGTTGCCCATGATGCTGTTGATTGTGGAGCTCTTACCAACGTTCGGGTACCCTACCTAGAAGAGGCTCAAAAGTTACCGAACAGCCAAACTGTTATCAAAGATAACACGGTACAGGGCAGCGACACTAGCATTAAGGGTCAGGTCACTGGGAAAGCAGCTGCTAGGTGCTTATGAGTAAGTGTTTTAAAAATCACAACACACAACTGATTTTCATTTCTACTAACAAGTTCTTACTGGCTAAGAATATGGCACAATGACTTAAACTGTTTAGCTCTGTAATCATTCTTGGGTTCAGGCTGAAACAACACCCATTCTTCCTTACTGTCTCTCCTGCCAGAGCTATAAATAAATTGGAAGTTCCATGTTGCCTCAGATCAAGCAGGTTCACATAAAGGAGTTATTAAATAAAATGCTGTCGCTCTAACCACGGCACCCCTGTTCTATGCCTTTTTCAGGCTTTTACAAATGTTTCCAAATCTAACCCCCTCTCTTACACATTCAGAATCCTCCACCAACATGTCTGGAAGATTACGAATACTCGTTTCCTTAAATATCACATCTTCATTGTCACAAAAAAAAACCCCTTGTGCTCTTCACCCCAAGTTGCAACCCTCACTACTGCTCAAAACTCAGCCACACTTGATCAGTACCCACTTTAACATTCCTGGGGCTTTGTTTAAACAACTGCATTTTGTTTATCTGGACTGGCCTTCCTATCCCATTTCATGCCTGCACATTATACTCCAAGGCTCAAGCTCTTTTAGAGGGATTTCAGACATAAGGAACTGAGTGTATATAAAAGTGGATATGCGAGCTCAACAGGGAGGGTAAGGCAAACGAAACTGAAGAGGAAATCCCCAAATCTGTACTACAGAGACATCCAGGAACAATGTGGAGCAAACACGTGGTAGAGTTAGGAAAGCTTCTCAGGAACAATTAAAACAGAGGGAGTGAGTTGTTAGGCCTGGGGGCCCAGGACCACAGCCCCAGAGGACAGCAAGGTCAACAAGTACAACACAGAGTGCAAGACAGTTTACATTCTACTTCGGTAAAGAGTGACTGGCATCTTAATACCCTGTGAGAGGCCATCTAAAGTGCAACTATTGATCTCTTCTCATATAAACAAAAATGAAAGGGAAAAAAACCCAACCAGACACATGGAAACATTTAATCCAAAGGACACAGAGACCACCCAAATGTCAGCCTCCATGATCCTGAGACAAGAAAGAACTAGGAGGAACCCACCTACCACTGTTGACTGCTCTGAAAAAAAAAACAAACAAAAAACAACAACAAAAAAACCCTACAAACAACAACAACAAAACACAGTAGAAAGCCCTGGATAGAGCGGGAGCAAAATATGGAGCAAAAAGGCAAGAATCATAACAAAACCAAGCTTACTCATCAGACAAGACTGGTGGAAGCCCTCACGGTTTAATTTTCTGCCAAAATGTAGTGGTTTCTAAGGTAAACGAGAACACTAGAATGCCTGAAGTCAAAGTTCAAAGTAATGGCACAAATGTGTATGATCTGTTGACTGGAAAACTGATTTGCCCAGTAAACCTTCACTCAAACCACATTTACAAACGCACACACCACCTAATGAAGACCAGTTGGAGTCTGTTAACGCATAGGCAGTAAGAGGGCTATTATCCCTGTGCTGTCAGAAACCCAACGGGTCTGCACAGCTTCAGTGGAGCAGCCAAAGAGACAGGGACAAAGGTCATCGCAGTGGCAATGATTTTACGAAGTATTGTATCTTACCAGTCCGACAGTAAGTTGGCCATCTTTCACCTTCTTGCCAGTGTGTAGCTGCTTTAAGATCTCCAATAATTCCCGTTTCGATACTAGATGGCTAAGATTGCATGTCTGCCTCTTCTGTGGGGTTTGCCTGCCTTCATGGTCGGAATCCGCGGGACAGCTTTCCCCCGAGTCCTGGCCAGGGGACTCTCCAAGGCTGCTGTCATCTTCTGCACACGTCTGCCAATCCTCTTCCTCTTTCTCCTCCTCCCGACAGTCCTCATACTCATTGTCGTCCTCATCACTGGAAGGACCTTTGGAAGGGGAGGGGGCATCCCTGTCTGAGAGATGGCCAGACTCACTGTATGCAATTTCAGCCTCATCAGAATCTGAGTTCTCAAACTTGGTGGTGTTGTCTTCTTCAGAATCTCCATTCACTTGCTCCTAATGAGAGAACAAAAACCACAAAGGTCAGATGTATGTCACAACTACACTTTTCACTTTAGTATTCAATGCTCAAGAGAGGGGATTACATGATTACATAACATGAACAGATGACCAGATAAAGTTATAAAGGAGAATACAGACAGGAGATGGTGCACAGCCTTTCAGTGCAAGGATACCTACCACCTACAATTGCAGTGCTCTACTGTACTGTACTATTTGAACACTATTACTTCCATAATTGAAAATAAGCCTTTATAGAAAGCAAGAGAAAAAGTATGGATAATACTAAATTCTTTGGTAATCCATTATTTTAGAGTGAGCTCTAAGGATAAAACAAAATATTTCTCACCAACATTTAAACCTTAACCACCATTTGCAAAAAATAGGAAGGGGTATAAACTGTCATCTGAGCCTAAATCACACTTCTGTTTTCCAAGTTTTAAAGAAAATCCTAATCTTAGGTAACGACCTATGGTGTTAGTTTAAAAGCTGGCTTTTCTAGTTATTAGCCCTCCTCTTGTCTCTAGCTACCTTAATTAGACACATGCATGGTCTTGTAAATCATCAACAGCTGTGATCTAGGTAAGAGAGGGCTTCTCACAATGAACAGCAAGACTTGAGGGAGACTGAAGCGAGACCCTGGTGATGCTGGTAGAGACACTGTGGCAAGGCGTAACCAGAGGAGCCCTGAGATAAAGGCCACAGTTAAAGGTTTTGCTGTGCTTGCCAGATGACTGAAGGAGAAGCTGACTTAAAACTGCTCTGCGGCAAACCTTGCTGGATGACTGAAGAAACCAGAGGCTTCTTGAATTTATGTTGCTGAACACCAGGACTATTATTAATTAAGAAACTGTGTTTTGCTATTAATCTGACTTGGAAATGCTGGACTAAATCTGGGCTCACATTGTGAGATATTCTTTGCCTCTCTCAATCCCCAACCTATTTCCCAAATAAACCTCACAACTGTGCGTAAAGTCTGTGCATTAAAGCCTGAGTATTGAACCCAGTAACTGGTTAAAACAGGTCCAGGAGCGTGGGGGTTAGCATGTCTGACCTAGCAGCTATCTCTTTGCTGCTATGTATATTATTGAAGGGGAAAGTTCTCCTTTATGAAGTGGGCAGAAGCCAGACTTGGTCACTGCGAACCCCACGTGGCATCTGCTCCTTTCGCACTGCCTTCAATAAAGAAGGCAACATTTCTGGGACACAGCTTCTTTTGTGAAATGCAGAAGCAACAAAATTCTCTATTTTTAAATGATTTACCAATTAAAGGTTCCAAAGGATGTCTCTGGATATTCAACAGAAAAAATTAAATGGCAGAAGAGATACTGTGAACCCTTTCCAGCAGCTGAATGTGGGAGACGGGATTATTGCCAGGACTGTGAAGAGTAACACTCTCAAAGTGATGTGGTGAGCAGCACTGAGTCAGGTACCACTGTTTCCAACTGTGTAGCTAAGGAGTTGTGGTTTCTATGTAACACACACTCTGCCTTTGCTACCCCCCCTTTTAAATTGTGATTTTAATAAAAGTTTACAGAAAAGTTACTGTAGTACATGTAAATTTTATGAGTTCAAGCAATTTTAATTTCACTTCACCAGCCATGACTGACTTAGGAAGAACTAGTTGGAATTTGTGCTCTAAAACAATCCTATTAAGAATTAAAAAGTTTAAAATAATTTCTTATTAGGGTATATGCTAATTCTTCTGAATCTTTATTGATGACATTAGGGAGTTCTGGTAACCTAGTGGTATGAAACCGTGCTGCCACCCTGAAGGCAGGTGGTTAGGGTCCACAAGCGACTCTGGGAGAAAGACAGACAACCTCTTCCTGTGAGATTTACTGCCTCTGAAACCTGCTGGAGGGCCAGTGTAGTCAGTTCTGACTTGATGGCATACAACAACAATGAGGACAAAGTGAACTGGATGGGATTTACAAGTGACACAAAATTTACATTCTTTCCAAATAACTTAGTGTTAGAACGAATAAGAAAAGAATTCAAGAAATTTTAGCAAAATAGATTTTTTTTAAAAAAATTAAAAAATGAAGGTAAATAGTTATTATTTCTTAATGCTAAAAAACTATATTTAAAACCCCACTAAACTACCAACACACAAACAAAAAAATTCACACCTCAAAAACATGGCTTTCTATAGAATTATAAAACAAGAAACAATTTTATGATAAGCAATGAGTATAAAGAAATCAACACTCTCTGAGTTTTACTGAATCAGATTTTAAAATATAAAAGAAAATTAAAGAACAAAAATGTCAATTGAATATGCTATGCACTAGAAGAACTTGGGAAAAATGTCTTAAACGTAATGCCAAAGACAGACTTTAGAAATCGTTATGCCAAAAATAAAATGAAGGGGAAAGATAATTCTTTGAGAAATATACAACTTAACATACTAGAGATATTCTACTAAGGAAAAAAAATTCTTTTTTAAAAACAAGGACTTTAAAAAGCTGCAAATAAAAATACCACTCAAGTAAGAAACAAGGAAATATTAAAATAATTTCAAATTTGGTAACCAATTACATAAGGGACTACAGGTATGATTTTCTAACCTTCGAAGGTATATTTTCTTAGAAGCCATAGAGAACAGCAGCAATTCGAAAAGACTTGAAAGGAGCAAATGGTGCCTAATTTTTAAAATAAATATTATATAAAAGATTATTTTTCTGTTCTATTAAAGTTTGCTATTCTGACTGGGGTGAGAGGATATCTCACAGTTGTTTTTATTTGCATCTCTCTTAGAGCTAGGGATTCTGAACATTTCTTCATGTGCTTGTTGGCCATCTGAATGTCTTCTTTGGTGAAGTGTCTGTTCATATCCTGTGCCCATTT